GGGGAACAACCGGATCAACACACTCGTACTCCTAAGCAGACGGTCCCCCAGTTCAGTTTCCCCGTCCCCGCCCGGACGAGTACATACACACATACATGCATGCAATCAACAAACTTTGACAGGACATCTAATCATCCATGGACCTTCGACATCATTCGTGCGCACCACCAGCTCCCATCACTCGGGGCTTCACACACACGACATGCATAGACCAAGCAGCAATGGAGATAAAAGCGAGTCCTTCTTGTACACAAAAATTTCAATTAACTGCCGCCCCCAGGTGCAGCCTTCAAAACTCCCCAAGACCACCGACCACCATAGCCACAAGGCCCTTCCGCGGCCGGCGTCCAATCCCCACCACTGCTCAGTCCCTCCGACTGCTTCGCCCCGAGACTACCGCGGGTCCACCCCACGTCGTCACTCCGCCCGTCCTTGGGCTCGTCGAGCCTGTTCGGCGCCGCGGACTCTTGCGGAGCATTGCAGCCGAGATCAAAGAGAGAGAGAGGAGAGGGTTGGGCAAATTTATAGCGCGGGAGGCGGCCGGTTGTTAGCGCAAGGTGCGGGCAGCGCAGGTTGTAGATGAGAAGGACAGGAGGAAGGTGGGGAGTTAAAGGGTTCGACCCGCGGGATGGCATGGTCCTACGTGATTGGGGTGTCCGTTCAAGTGGCGCATGGTTTCCCGCTCTCCACATTGATCCGAGCATCCCAACTACGCGGCCAATCACTTCGCGGGGTAAGAAACGAGCTGGGCGGAGGGGAAGACGAAGAGTCCGGTCATGGGAAAAATGCACGCAGCAAGGAGGGAAGATAGCGCGAGGATGCAAAGCAAGAAACGGGGATGCGAGACGCGCGAAGAAATCGGAGCTTGGGCGCGCGCGCGCAAAAATTCAAAAGTCCCAACCGCACCCGTTTGTTGGCTTTCATGTCGCGGCCGCTATTCGCCCGCGGAAGTTATTAACCAAACAAAATGAAAAAGCCGTTTCATAAAGAAAACAAAAGCAAAAAGAAAGAAACCCCCTTTCTATCCACGTCCGTAGTTCGGGACTCCCGCGGGATTTTTCCTCAGGGATACGGCAAGCCGCGCGGTACGGATCTGAGCTTATCACATCTGTGATACGCAGGGGGTTCCAAAAAATTAGCAGTCTCCCGACTGCTGATGTCATCATATCTTGGATGATCGGGCGGCCTCTCCATCGTCAGCTGGCCCGATCATCTTCCTAATCTACGTGGATGCATCTTGCATCCTCCATCGCCTCCTCCCATAGTATACATCCGATCGGGCAGCCCCTTCAT